CCTGCTCAGCGGGGAGTCTGCTTCTCCCTCTGACCCTCTTCCCTCTCATGCTCTCTATCTCTCATTCTCTCTCTCTCAAAGAAATAAATAAAATCTTTTTTAAAAATAAATAAATAAATAATGTGTGTGATCTCTGGTCCTCGATGTCCTTAAAATCCAAACAGTTCAGTTGTTCCCCAACCTGGTTGTGTATCAGAACAATTCAGAGAACTTTCTGATCGCACAGATACCAAGCAGAGCCCCATGCTAAAACTGTGACATCAAAAAATCCAAGGGAGACCAGGCGTCTGTATTTTCAAAAAAGCTCCCCAAATTGGTAGTCATCAAAAAAGAAACTGAGGGGGGCACCTGGGTGGCTCAGTCGGTTAAGCACCTGTCTTAGGCTCAGGTCATGATCTCAGGGTCCTGGGATTGAGGCCCATGTCAGGCTCCCTGCTCAGTGGGGAATCTATTTCCTCTCCCTCTGCTCTTCCCCCTTACCTCTTCCCCCCACCTCTCATGCACTCTCTCTCTCAAATGAATAAATAAAATCTTAAAAGAAGAAGAAGAAGAAGAAGAAGAAGAAGAAGAAACTGAGGAATTCTGTGATATTGAACCATCTCCAAGTACATCAAGTGAAAAAAGAAATGTTCAGGACAGTGTTTATAATATGTTGCTGTCAGGGAAAAATCAAAAGTATATGTGGGAGAGAATGTACTGTAAGCACAGACACAGACTCTAGGGACACAAAATAGCTGGCCACAGTGGTGACCAACAGGGAAGAAAACAGGGTAGCTGGCACAGGAGTGAGGAGGAGATTTACTGTAGGACTTTTTGGTATCATTTGAATTTGTACCGAACAAATGGATTATCTACTCAATAAATGAGTCCCCATATGATTGTGATGTAGAACCAGAATTTGGGAACCTCTGATGGTAGGGACTCCTCCTCACCTTGACAGCATCTAACACACTAGTTATACAGCTTCCTGGACAGCTCATTGATCTTTGAAAGCTCTGACCCTCCTTTTTATTGTAAACAGAAACCTGAGAGCCTGGGGGGTGGGGGTGGCTCATGCTGCCTCCCATAACCAGGCAGAATCAACCCAAACCTGCTACCAGCACAGGTGGGTGAAAGGAGAATGAGCACACATAAAACATGAAATCAGAAAAGGAATGTTTCTTTCGCCCCAGAAATTAAGTCTGATACACTGATGGAAAGCTATTCGGATTTTTTGTTTAACGAGGGACTCCTTTCTCCAAGCAAAATGGACAAGGCACTGCAATACCTAATGCAGATTTAAAAGCCAAGTTTCTGTGGTTGCCAAGGAGTGGCAGGGAGGAGGCAGGAACCCTGCTTGGGCACCTCACTATCCGGGAGACACAGTTGTGATCCACCTCCGTCACCACTCACAGGTCCAACGGAGACATACTTCCCCCCTCTACATCACCTCCTGCCTCGTTCAAGTCACCACCTTCTCACAGCAGGACCTTGTGATCCTCTCCAGACTGGTCTCCCCAGCTCTCCCATTGCTGCTCTGAAATCAATTCCCCATTTTGCAGCCAGGGTTATCTGCTTAAAATGTAAATGTAAATCTTGCTTCATTTCCCATAGCATTTGAGATAAAGTCCAAGTTCCAGAATGTGGTCTCCAAGCCCCTGCAGTCTGGGCCCTCCCCAGCCTCCTCTTCTCCCACTGTTGTCTGCTCTGCACCAGACACTTCGTCCAGCCTCAGAGCCTTTGCTTAGGGCCTGTCCCTCTGCCCAGAACACTCTCTTCCACCTCCTAAGGATTTATCCTTCTGGACATTTCCTCAGGGACGTACCAGATCAGATCAGATTCCCTTCTTAAACACTCAAAGCATTCATACTTTTTTTTTTCTTCTTCTTCTTCCCCCCTACCCCCAAAGGGGTTACACTTTTTCTTTGTAGCGTGTATTCGGTCTGTATGTTCTGAGGAGTACCAGGGCCTGGTTGGTACTAAACAAAGGGGAGAAAAAGGCAGGGTCCCTACGCTTTTAAGTGTATAGTCATTTTGGGGGGGGACTCACCCTGATCCAATAATTACAGAATCAAATGTAAATGTATGGTGCCTGGAAGGTGGATGGTAACGGGAATAGTTACCAACATCAGTTGGGATGTCTGAGGGTAGAGCTTTCCTGGAAAGGGTAGGTATTTGCTGAGTGAAGTGACAACGGAGGTAAGAAGGGCCTTTCAGGCTAGTGTCCAGGAAAACCCTGACTGTTTGACCTAGCAAACTGGTAGGCTTTTAGTAGAGACTGAAAGAATGAGCAAAAATTGACTTGCCCCAAAGCAGAATCATATTAGAACTCAGACCTCCCAGTTCAGTGCAGCGTTCCTCCCGTACCCTAGTGCTCCTCCAGGATTTCAGAGAGCATGCCTAAGTGAATGGGGGAAATGGTTCGGTGAAACTATGCTTCTCCTTTTGCTTCCATTTCACATTTCAGACATCAAGTTTTTATTCCGGTACTTGGACTTGCTGATGGAAATGCTTCCGTATGTTAGTCCTCTTGGGCTGATCCCACTCGGGGAATGTCTATTCAGGCAAGGAGGGAGACTTTCTTTCTTTTTTTTTAAAGATTTATTTATTTGAGAGAGCGAGAATGAGAGAGAGAGAGAGTACATGATGGGGGGGAGGGTCAGAGGGAGGGAGAAGCAGGCTCCTCGCCGAGCAGGGAGCCCGATGCAGGACTCGATCCCGGGACTCCAGGATCATGACCTGAGCCGAAGGCAGTCGCTTAACCAACTGAGCCACCCAGGCGCCTGGGAGACTTTCTTTTTTTATAAAAGATTTTATTTATTTATTTGTCAGAGAGAGACAGAGCACACAAGCAGAGGGAGCGGCAGGCAGAGGGAGAAGCAAGCTCCCCATTGAGAAGGGAGCCCCAAGGGGCACCTGGGTGGCTCAGTTGGTTAAGCGACTGCCTTCGGCTGAGAAGGGAGCCCCATACAGGACTCAATTCCAGGACCCCGGGATCAGGGCCTGAGCCAAAGGCAGATGCTTAGCCAACTGAGCCACCCAGGCATCCCTAGAAGGGTGAGCTTTCAATTCCTTTATTTGACTCTGAAACGAATACTGATTGTATGTTTACGACGCACACACATGCAAAGCTTAAAATGTTTTTAAAAAAGTTTAAAATATTGACAGTTGTGTCCTTGATGATGGTAAAATTACAGATGATGTTTTAAATTGTGTTTATCTGTATTTTCTAAGGCTATAATCATTTTGTATTATTTGTGTAATGCAAATCCTTGAAAGCAAAAGATTTTCAAAGAAACACTGAATTGAGTGAATTCGATGGCTGGCCCTAAGCCGAGGTAATGGTCATAATCTCCACCAGACACCTAAAATAAATATACAGTCTAAAGAAGCAGAATGTCTGCTCTAAGCATGCTGTCTACAGACAAATCCTCTTGCAGCCTGATCACCGATCATTTTATAAAATCATTGGATCTAGGACCTGCCATTGATGCAGGAGATATAAAAATAAATATGGTGTGGGTGCCTGGGTGGCTCAGTTGGTTAAGCGACTGCCTTCGGCTCAGGTCATGATCCTGGAGTCCCCGGATCGAGTCCCACATCGGGCTCCCTGCTCGGCGGGGAGTCTGCTTCTCCCTCTGACCCAACCCCCTCTCACGCTCTCTCTCATTCTCTCTCTCAAATAAATAAACAAAATCTTTAAAAATAAATAAATAAAAATAAATATGGTCACCTATAAAATGGGAACAATTCTTCCCTCATAGAGTTGTAAGGATTAAATAAATTAGTACAGATAAAGCACTTGGAACAGTGTCTGGCACATAAACACTATATAAGTGTTAACTATTATTATATTTATGGCACTGCTATTTGGAGCCACCCAATAGGGTAAGAAAGGGTAGAAACGAAGGAAATGATTCTGAAAAATACAGTAAGAGCTTAAAATGGAGGTGAGCAATGAACGCAGAGTCTGGCAGCCTGTATCACAGGGTTCAAGTCTATTGGTCAGTTCGTGGCCAGCACCGCAGGAATGTTAAGCGTTTCGCTGTTGGGGCCTGGAGTTCGAGACGTAGAGTCCAGTCCTTGGGACATCCAGTTCCTACCCTCGTTACAAAATTGGGGCCTGCAGACCCCGGTCGGAAGAGAGGGGCCTACAGTACCGCACGGTTACAGGTCGAGCCAAGGCTGGGCCCGGCCCGGCCCCCAGTGGCCAGGACGGCTCTCTCCAGGTTGCACGTCCCCTCTGTGCATGGACCTCCGGGTAAAGGCTACGCAGCGGTGGCCCACAGCGGGTAAGAGGTGCCTGGACCGCAGTGCGGGGTGGGAACTACGCTTCCCAGCACGCAACGGGGCAAGAGAGGGCTCTCCGTCTCTACCCGCGCCTCGCAGGTTCTGCTGGGAGTTTTCATTGACCTCTGAGCGCCCCCTCTCGTTCGGATCGGCTCGGGCCTCCTCTAGGCCCCGCCCCTTTCGGAGAGCGGGTGACCTCGCCGAGCCCCGCGAGCTGCTTCCTTCTTCCCCTCTCATTGGCCCAGCGTAGCTGCCATTCGGGAGCGAGGAGAAGAAGTTGCTTACTGATTGGTGGATTCCGTTTGGCGCCAACTAGGGAAGGGGGCGGGGCAGCGGCGGTCCCTAGTGAGCAGCTATTACCGCGAAAGGCCACCTCGGCAGCGACAGCCCGGAAGGGAGGTGAAGGTCCGCTTGGTGCTCTGCGACCCCAGGTTCGGGCAAAAAAGAGAAAAGCGAAGAGAGTGTGAGCCCTGGCCGTTGCTTCGCGGCCCTGGCCGCTTTCTCTTCTTGACCCGACGCGTTTGTTTGGATTTAATCTTCAGGTTGCCGGCACCCGCCCGCCCGCTGGCCTCGCGGGGTGCGGGGGAATCACCCGTGCATGTGGCTGGCGCCTGCCGGGTCTACACACCCGCCCGTCCGCGCCGCTTGCCCGCGGCAGCCGCGTCCCTGAACCGCGGGGTCGTGTTTGTGTTTGACCCGCGGGCGCCCGCAGCAGGGCGCGCGGCCGAGGCCGGTGCCGGCGGGGCGGGGCGGGCGCGGCGGAGGCGGAGGAAGAGAGAGCGGGAGCCCTGGGAGGCCGGGCGCCGCCATGGAACTGGGCCCGGAGCCCCCGCACCGCCGCCGCCTGCTCTTCGCCTGCAGTCCCCCTCCCGCGCCGCAGCCCGTCGTGAAAGCGCTGTTCGGCGCACCAGCCTCCGGGGGCCTGTCGCCTGTCACCAACCTGACGGTCACCATGGACCGGCTGCAGGGGCTGGGCAGGTGAGGAGGGATTGGCGAGCGGTGCCGCAGGCCGCTGGGCTCCCACACGGCTCTCGGGGGGAATCCGGCTGGGAAACGGGCCCGGAGCGGGGCGAGACCTGTCTGCCGCTCGTGGGCCGCCCCCCTGATTTGGGGCCCGCCATGTGCACCCTCCCCCCAGGCGGAATGTTGGGCGGGAGAGGCCGTTCCGACCCTCCAGGGCCGCCCTCAGCCCCGAGCCGGGCCCGGTAGGGTGTGGGGTCGGCCCGGGTTCCCCACCTTGGCCACCCCCTTCAGATTGCTTTGTACTCTTCTGTCCCAGTCCCAGGAAGCTCTTTGTAATCTACCCCACGGGGCAAAGCGGACCTTTTCAGGCGCTCACTTCCACCCTTTGCTGAACCATCTCGAAGGATCTTAGCTTCCTGCGAGCTTTGTTCCTTCTCTACAGAGAGACATGGCATTTTCTTTCCTGGAGTATGTGCAAAATCATCTCAGTTCCTTAGCCCGTGCACATTCCTGATGTCCACCCCTGCTTTCCTAAGGCCAGGCCTTTTTATTCAACTTCCCATCCTCAAAAGCTCCCTGGACTTTTCCTTATGGCAAAACATGCATCCCAGGGTGTTTTGGTGGAGCTGATTACCCTTCAGTTTTGGACGTCCCATTTTCTCTGTAAGCACATGTCTTGTACGTTTTCCAACCTCTGAAAAGCAGGAACTGGTCTGATTCATCTTTCGTCCTAGCAGGTACCTAGAACACATGCTCTCGTTTCAGGAAATACTCCATCATAGTCCTCTTTTCTACAGCCTGACCCAGGCCATGCCTACCCACTCCATTCTCATCTTTTATATTCAAGTGCTAACTGGGTGTTTTGGGTGGCAAAATGGGGTCTGTGGTGTGGCCTTAGAAGTAGATGGTTAAGAGCAGCCTGGATACTTGCTAACCTCATGGCCTGTCTCCTGTATGTAACCTTGTAATTATGTTTTAGAAATACATAGAATTCTTTCTCTTGCTTTCAGTGAATATGAACAGCCGCTGGAGGTGAGAAACAGCAGTCTGCAGAGAATGGGCTCCTCTGAGTCAACCGATTCAGGTATTCCTGTAGTCTGTAACATTTATTATATGTTTACTACATGGGGATCAAAACTTGGGAATTTGTTGTAATGTGCGCTTCACCTAGGAACTTAGTCTGGTGACTAGTTGAGACAATAAACAAGAGTCATGGCATTCCATGACAAATACCCTTAAAACAAGACAAAGAAGGCCCTGTGGTAGTTTATGGAGGAAACAAGTGTCCAGTGTCTGCATGGAGGTGGTGGGTGCTTGATCTTGAGGATGAGTAGTTGGGTAAAATGAACTATAACATCAAGCCCAGAAAAGCATATTGGTTGAAACACGGAGTCAAATTATTGTTTCACTGAGCCTGCTGTGGAGGAAATGGACCAGTGCATTTTACTCTAATTCATAAATTCATGGTTATATTTGCACAGATGCTTTAAGTTAGGAAATAAGAGCAAAGATCTTAAAATGTAGACTTCTTTTTTTTTTTTTTTTTTTTTTTTAAGATTCCAGGTATTTTTTTGACAGAGAGAGAGAGACAGTGAGAGGGAGAAGCAGGCCTCCCGCCGAGCAGGGAGCCCAATGCGGGGCTCGATCCCAGGACCCTGAGACCATGACCTGAGCTGAAGGCAGACGCTTAACGGACTAAGCCACCCAGGCACCTCTTAAAATGTAGACTTCTTAAGAACTAGGGATAGGATGCTTACTTGTGGCAGTGTGGCAGATGAGAGTATCAGAGCTAATACTTGACTTCCTGCAAAGTTATGTGGAGAGGTAATGCACTAGGCAGACGCTGGTGGGTCTGGGCCATACTGAGAGGTGTCTCCTACACCTTGCTCCCTTTGGTGAGATGAGCACCTTACTTGGTGTTATTTAAAGGCAGTGAATACTTGGCTTGTCATAGGACTAATAAATGTATTTTTCCAAACCCCCAAATTACACATATGATCTGACAAGATAAAATATTTTGAAGTCAGAACTATTCCAGAAAACCGGTACCTGTTCTTTCCATGGTCAGCACTCACAGAAAGTTACCTGACTAATCTCTGAATAACCAACTAGTCATCAAAAGATTATGTTTAATTGTCACATCGTATTCCCTTGATGGTATTTGTAAGTAGGAAAAGGGGATTGGTAGATATACCATGAAAATGTTAAGACTTGTGCAGATATGAAGTTTTTGACAATCAGATGATGCCACTTTAATTCCGGCAAAAGTCCAAGCCATGAGTCTTGATTGATGGCTTAAGGAAACAGTACTAGTAGTATTTTTATTTTAATGACAAAATGATATCTCATGTATTATTTTCCTGAGGTTTTATTATTTCCCACAGGCTTCTGTCTGGATTCTCCTGGGCCCTTGGACAGTAAAGAAAAGTATGTATTCACTGGTTTTAAAAATTTGTGCTTAGGAAAGACTTTTCTTAATTTTTTATTGAAATTCTTTGTGCTCTGGATGGGAGCCCTGGATTTAGCTGACCTGAGTAAGGGTCCTATAAATGTGGATCCTATAAATAAGTCTGGTGCCTTTAGAGAATGAGTTGTTTGTGCCAGCAGTTTTTAGGACTCCCCATCCTTTATTTTAGCTGTAATTTGTGGTGTTCTCTTCCGAGTCTTGCCCAAACCCTTACTTCACCCTCTGGCATCATAGACTTAAGAGAAATGTGTATTTCTTTTTTTTTAAGATTTTCTCTCTTTATCCGAGAGAGAGAGAAGGAGAAGCAAACTCCCTGCTGAGCGGAAAGCCCGATGTGGGGCTCGATCCCAGGACCCTGAGATCATGACCCGAGCCAAAGGCAGCCGCTTAACCGACTGAGCCACCCAGGCGCCCCGAGAAATGTGTATCTTAAAAGACCTGGGCTTGCTCTTTTTACCTGGAAGTTCAGTAATGTTGGGGGTGCTTGTGAGAACAGGACAGCCTCAGAAATCTGTTCTTCGATCTTGCCTAAAATGGGGATGTTTGACTGCCCCCTCCCCAAACTATAGACTAGACCACTGCATCTACTAATATGAATACCTCTCTCTTGTTTTATTCTCATTGTTTACCTTCTGATCTCATTGCAGCCTTGAAAATCCCATGAGGAGAATAAGTTTTCTGCCTGTAAGTTAGTTCCCTTTTTATTTTGAGCTAATTCATATTATCTGTCTCCTTAGCTATCAGTGTGACCTTGATGGGAGACCTTAATTTAGGCAGCAAAGACTGCTTTTCCTTAGTCTTGTAAGCACTCAAAACACCTAAACAACCTCACCTTCAGTTCTAACTACCAGTTAGATACAGGAAGTATTCTTTTTTTTGCAAATGTATTTTTGGATTGGTTTGGCACCCTAAATCTCTGCTGAGAGAGCTGTAGACCTACCTTGTGAGGTTAGGTGGGAAGCCATGTAGCGGGATCTCCTACCCCATGTTGTGGCAAGGTGGAACCCTGGCCACATTTCTTGGTTACCACCTGCAGTGTGTGAGGAGATAAACCCCACCCCCCACTGCCATTTTTGTTTTTCTTTTGAACCTGAGTTTCATTGAATTGTCATTTATCTACCCTAACGTCTTTTTTTCATTTTGTCAGCAGAAGCTCTTGGGATGTAGCCCAGCTCTGAAGAGGAGCCATTCTGATTCTCTTGACCATGATGTCTTTCAGCTGATGGAGCAGGATGAGAACAAGGAAAACGTGAGTGGTCTCAATGTACTAATCTAGGATAGAGGTAAAGCCACAGGTGTCAGTGGCTTAGAGAAGTGGCTGGGCTGCTTTCTGGGAAACTAGACCTTCACCAAAGTCATGCATGGTCTTTGCAGTCAGAGAAACCTGGATTTGAATCCTGCTTGTGTGACCTTGACCCATTACTTCTTTTTAGGCTTCTTCATTTCTTTGTTTATAAAATATGAGTAGCAGTAACTTGTAGGGCATTATGGAATTAAATAAGATAATGTATATAAAGCATTTAAAATGGTTCCTGGCAGGGAGGAGTTGCTCAGATGGTAGCCCTTAGGAGTAATTGTATCCATGAATACTTTATCCAGAAGGGTCTGCCCAGGCCCTGCCTCTTTGTGCTCACCGTGGGATGAGTGGTAAGCTTAGGAAAAGGCTTCTTGGCAGTATTTGAAAGAACAGGGCCAACAAGTCTCAGGGAATCACAGAGTAACTGAACTGGTAGCTTAGAGGGTGAACTTGTGGTGATCCATCCAAAAGTCCAGGAACACCCTGGCCTGGCTTTTCTCTCATACCTGCCAGGTGCATTGCACAGGGTAATCACCCAAAACAGTTCAGTGACTTGGCTCAGTTTTTCCAGCCTTCATTCTCACTATGTCCCCATGTTGATTTCCTCCCCTTTCCATTGCCTGCTAAAATGCCACAGTTTATAATCCTTATCATCTCTCAGACTTTGTGTAAAACCTACTGCCTCCATAAATTCTCCCAGTGATTCCTTTAGCAACTTTGTGAGTGGTTCTGAGGGACAATACATAAGTGAGTTCCTGCCTTGAGTGCTTGGAGCACTGCCTTGGCGCGCGTGCGTGTGTGCGTGCGTGTGTGTGTGTGTAGTGCCTTCTACTGGACACACAAGCTGTACTGATGCCTGGTTTTCCCCTGAACTTGGCTTTTCCCAGGATTGCCCGCTTGGAATTTTGTTGTGGAGGGGAAGGAGCATAGATGGTGGCTAAAGAAAGAGCTCTTGTGATCTTAGGCACATCACTTAACCTGTACGGCCTAGTTTCTTCCTCATCTGTAAAATGGGGGTGATCGGTGATGGTTATGAGTTAATGCATAGAAAGTACTTAGTCCTGTGTTGGCTTGTGCATACTCTGAAATTAGCTGTTACTGCTCTGAGCACTTCATCACAAGTGAAGTGGCTGTTTTAGGTAGGCGGATTATAAGTGCTTTCAAACTTGAAGTAAATGGAATCATACAGAATGTATTCTGTCACTTCTGGCTTTCACTCAACATGTGCAATTCATTCATGCTGTTGAGTAAAAACAGTAGTTTTCTTAATTTTCCATTGCTTTGAGTATAGAGTACAGTAAGTGGAAAATAATTACCTCCTGTTGGTAGGAAGAAGGTGGAAAATACAAAATCTTCAAACAAATCTGGAGTGAAAAGTTTTGGCTCCCATGCACAGGCAATTGTACTGAAACCCTTTAGATTTTAGGAAGTTGTTGATTGGGTTTAGCTTATTAACTCAGTGTTTTGTATACTTGGCCGATATTTATGTTTGTGTCAGGAAATAGTCTTTGTGGTGAGAGAAAAAATGCTGCCTTAGAAGTCAGCTGTTGACAAAGTCTGTGAAATTCTTCGTGACACAGATCTAGTGTTGGAGTTAAGCTCAGAAATGGGTACTTAGTTTGGAGGCAATTACAAAGGTGAGCAGTGCCTGCTCCCTTGGCTGTCTCACCCGAGCTACAGCTGAGGCCCTGGTTTTCATGGACAGTGGAATATGTCTTGACTCTACTGTCTTGCAGGAAGCCTTTGAGTTTAAGAAGCCAATAAGACCGGCATCTCGTGGCTGCCTGCATTCTCATGGACTTGAGGAGAGTAAAGATCTCTTCACACAGAGGCAGAACTCTGCCCCAGCTCGGATGGTATGTGCCCTGGCTTTCACAGGGGAGTTCCTGATGGGAACAGAATTAAAGCACCTTCTTGAACCCGGAGTCGAAGACACTACAGTAGCTCTTGTCTTTACCTTGACTTTGTCATTTGAAACTAGACTGTCACATTTTTTGGTGTTTTTGCTGTCTGGAGAGCAGACAGGCAGAAGCAGAGTAAGAGATGGTCTGTTTGGAATATTGAACTTGAGCAAGGAATATTTGACCTTATCAATTCTGGGCAAATAATCTGTGGGCATCCTGGGTCATTCTTCTAAATGTGTGTATGGTGGGATTATAGGTCTTAAAACTTGCTCTTTCATAGTGCCTCCTGAGTGCTAAGAGGTACTTCCCAGAGTGGTTTTGTTCAGAGACAGCACTTGGCTTCTTCCAAAGGTGGTTTATTAAGAACTTTTGGGAATTCCAGTGAACCTACTACCTGTGGGCTACTTGACAGTATTGGGGGCCATCTACCCCAGGGTTATTTCTTTGCCAGAAAGAGGCATCACTGCTTCCAAAGTTGCCTACTGGTGATCTGACAGCTAAGGCTAGAGAGGCCCAACGAAATGACCACATTTTGTTTCCAGTCTTTCCTGGGAATTTGCATGTGAAAATACAGCTTTCCAGTCTGGCTTGTGGTCTGAGGTTCGGGTTCAGCCAGTATCATTGCTCCATCTCGCGTTTGCACAAAGCACTTCTATATATGTTCTCATAAGCCTGTGAAGTAGCTGGAGTTAACCCATTTTACAGATAGGGAAAGTCTGGTGAGGGAGGTTGGCTGATTTGCCAAAGGACACAGATAAGACCAGGATTTAACAAAATCTACTGATTCCCAACTACACAGTAATTCTTTAAGTACTGGGTATCCAAAACTAAATATCTTTAGTGTGCCCTTGAAGACCACCACAGTGGGGTTTATTGTGGTCACCTAGCCTTCCCTAATTATAGGTGACATGTCTATCATTTGCTGTATCACATGTGCACTAGGGATCCCAGAACCTAGGTCACAAATACTGGTATTATAAAAAAATTTTTTTAAGAATTCATTTATTTATTTGTCAGAGAGAGAGGGCGCACAAGCAGGGGGAGCAGGAGGGGGAGGGAGAAGCAGGCTCCTGGCTGAGCAAGGAGCCTGATGGGGGACTCGATCCCTGCGCCTGGGATCACGACCTGAGCTGAAGGCAGACACTTAACTGACTGAGCCACCCAGGCTTCCCACAAATACTGGTATTCTAGTGTGAGCCTTCAGAGGGTGCCGCCCCATGATAAAGTTACCTGCCCCTTGGTTCTGCTAGCTGGAAACTTGCCGATGTGCCCAGAGCATGCTCAGGAGCACTTGTGGAGGATCAGAGGCAACCTAGAATTTCTGTGAAGCAAGCTGGTGCCTGAAGCAGAGGAGGCTAGCTGCAGAGAGGATTCTTTCCTAGGTAGGCAATTGACTCCGAAAACAAGAGGGCAACTTGAGGATTAATGCAGTTCTGTTACAAAGGGATTTATGTCTTAAGGATTATCTGTAGGACTTAGGTTGAGACTGCCTCCTTACTGTGGGAGGTATATCTCTGAACATTTTTCCTGGCTTTGGGAAGCACCTGGAAAAGATATAATTCACTATCAGCAATGTTTGTATTAGTAATGTTTATCTCTAGGTGTGTTTTTTGTTTTTGTTTTTGTTTTTTAAAGATTTTACGTATTTGACAGAGAGAGAGTACCAGCAGGGGGGAAGGGCAGAGGGAAAGGGAGAAGCAGACTCCGCTCTGAACAGGGAGCCACTTGGGGCTCAGTCCCAGGACCCTGAGATCATGACCTGAGCTGAAGGCTGACCCTTAACTGACTGAGCCACCTGGGTACCCCAGCAATGTTTATCTCTAGATGGTAGATTTAGGAACCATCTTTGTAAATTTCCTATATTAAATATATATTAGTTTCACGATGGGGGTTCCCCCCCAAACAACAACACAGTGTCACCTAGTGAGATACCCTATTTTTACTCCAGGAGCGGTTCTCTCTCCTAGGAGAAAATGTGAGAGAAGCTTGGGCTTTGGAGTCAAACGGGTGAGCCATGTGGTCTTGTGGTAACCTCTCTTAAGCATTGGTTTCCTGACTTGCTAAATAAGTAGAAAAGGAGTTACTCCCCTTAATGTGTTGTGAGGTTTAAATGGAACTGAACACCTCAGACCGTATTGTAGTGTCCAGTACACAGTAACTCCTCAGTTAAAAGCAGCACTTGCCATTTAAACTCCAAGTCTAACGGACTAGGAGAGACAGTAGAACCAGGCCACCCTTTACCGCGCCCCTTCGGAGCTGGAGTTACATGAGCATTCTCTAGGCCATTCTGTGGGCAGAGATTGCATCTTCCCACCGTTCCTCATTGCGGCCTGTTGTCCTCCTGTGTCACAGCCCGCATGTCGATCTCCCTGTTCGCTGATTCCAGTCCTCTGATAAAGCAAACCTTGCCCTTCATTAGAGGCTCTCCCCAGATCCCACTGTAAGGTGAATTGCTTCTCAGAAAAGGTTTTTGTGAAGGTTTCCAGGCCTGATTCTACTCAGGACTATGTGTAGACATCAAATCCTTTATCATCTTAGGCTGCATTTTCCTTTGATGAGTATCTGTTAAAATTTTACTTCTAATAAATACAGTATGTTTCCCTCATAAAATCTAGTGACCCATCCGAGGAAATCCAGTCTGATCAGTTATTAACAAGCCATGAATTCTGTCTTCCAGCTTTCCTCCAATGAAAGAGATGGCAGTGAACCGGGGAATTTCGTTCCTCTTTTTATGCCCCAGTCCCCTGTGACGGCCACTTTGTCTGATGAGGACGATGGCTTCATGGACCTTCTTGATGGAGAGAATCTGAAGGTGCTGTGTGTGTGTGTTCCTGCCCATTCCCCTAAGTACCCTGGGGAAGTCCTGTGAGAAAGAACAGCAATTCCCCAGGGCTTTGGGGTGGCTGCTATTTTTGTTCTTTGGGTGAGAATTTATTGAAACTCTGCTCCTAGTCTAATTAAATCTGAGGTGGAAGTGGGGCAGTTCTTCAAAAGAAGACACCCAGAGGATCCTTCATACCCTGAAGGAGCTGACAGTCTATTTTGTACAAGAGACCTGGAACAAGAAGAGTTTTAAGATGAGCTGGCGTGAAACTGGAAAGCCAGAGGCACCTCTTCACGTACCCTTGGGTTGGAAGGTGCTTTTAGCTACACGTTCAGATGTCTGAATTGTGAAACATGATGCTCTTCTGACCTTAACATATTGGGCAGTGGGAAAGAGGAGCAAACATTAGAGGCTTCCTATCCAAGCCTGTCTGATACTCCTCAGGCAGAATCACACCTAATGCCTTCAAACTGTTAGTCTCTGCTGGATCTTTATAATAGTTTTTCTATTTTAGAATGATGAAGAGACCCCGTCATGCATGGCAAGCCTCTGGACAGCTCCCCTTGTCATGAGAAGAATGACAAACCTTGTAAGTTGTTTCCATTGTCTGGAGAGAGCCTCGAGTAATTAGGCCTCTGGGACAGAGTGGACTAGACTAAATGGAAAACTAATCTTTCTGCCCACATCACCACAGGGATCAAAAATAGTTTCATTTGATTCTGTCTTTGAGTCTGTGGGCCTTTCCCCTGACTGGTCACTAGTGTTCTCTAGTGTAAAGAGAACTGTTTACACTGTTTCTTTAAGTTTTCTTTTGTCCTCATTGGTGTGTGAGGAAGTCTGGCTGATAAATACACATGTAGTTCTTATTTTTATAATTTTTAGTTTATCCCAGCCATTCTTGGTCAAGTTAATGTCGTGTGTGTGTGTGTGTTAATGTCCTTTCTGTTCAACTCTGACCTCTCTTACTTTCTAGTTGAAGATCTCAGGGAAATATCTGCTAAATTGAATTCCTCACAAGTGACAGTGATTGATGGCACCTTTGTGTTCTAAGCTGTGGGTGCAAGTATGGATAGTCTGGGGATTGGCCCTGCATGAGGCTGAGTTCACAGGCTGGGGCCTTGTTCGGCCTCAAAACACAGCATCTCCCCTAGGAGCTATTGAGGAGTACACCTACGTGGGCACTCTGAGCTCTTTAGAGCTCCCGTTTGCAAGGTGGGGAGCTGGCTGTCCTCTGTCCCTGGGTCTCTGGCTCTCCTCTTTCTTCAGCTTGTTTGGTTGTTTTGTCCACACTTTCCAGCATTTGCACGACGTCTGCCAAACATTTGGAACACTGCTTTATCTCTGTTTTCTGCTCAAAGATTCTGCTTTACTTCAGGTATTTTCCACATGGGGTTTAGGATTATTTCAGAGCTTAAGGGTGCTGAGAGTATTACCCATAGATAATTGAAGTTTTATATCATTTTTATGTTTTTCCATTTCTCCTGTATAGACTCACCCACAGCTCATATTTAGGACAGATATTTGTGTTTCTTTTGCCTAGGTTAAGTTAGAATTGCCTTTGACCCAGCTAGGCATTTCGTTACAATTGTTACTGCTAGAAGCACATCCTTGGATGACTACGTCATTGGAATGGGGTCCGAAAGTGGCCCGTGAAGCTCTGTTTTGCACCTCTGCAGAGCAGAGCCATCTCTGGCCCTCAGCTTAACTTGCTCTGAGAGGTGGTGTGAGTTTGAGAAGGGGCAGGTGGCTTGCTGTGGCCACCATCATTGCCTTCAGCCAGGAATCTGAGGCGTCAGTAGATGAACTCAGTCTGCTTTCACATTGAGGCTTCCCTTCTAGCCGGTGTCCTTAATTAGCCATCTTTATAGCCTGTGTAACATTGTCTTGTCCCAAATAGGGTTTGTCCCCACTGTCATCCTCAGCTACACCTTTGTGGGTTTTTTTTTTAAGATTTATTTATTTGTCAGAGAGAGAGAGAGCACAAGCAGGGGAAGCTGCAGGCAGAGGGAGAAGCAAGCTCCCCGCTGAGCAAGGAGCCTGATGTGGGGCTCGATTCCAGGACCCTGGGATCATGACCTGAGCTGAAGGCAGACGCCTAACCAACTGAGCCACCCAGGTGTCCCTCAGCTACACCTTTAACTCAGTCCCCGTATTAAAACCTGACACTTTAAGGAGTAAGATAGCAAGGAGTGGGTTATTTTTCCACGTCTCCGTCATGGGGTAGCAGCAGAGTTCTGGAGCCCTCGATGGTGAAGCAGACCACAGCTTACCCTGTGTGTGTGGCCTTGTTAAACACACACGTATTGCCACATGTACCCCATCGAACGGGTGGGCCTTATGGACACTTCAAGGGCAGGAATGTGCATCACCCTGGAAAGAGCCATATACTGTGAGCAACCACCTGAGTGCTGTGAGCAACTCGGGGGCTGATCCCGCAGAGAGGGCATGTTTGCCAAGGGTCTCACGGTGTGTGGGAACTTGGGGGGCAGGATGTGTCAATTCATGAAAGAACAGTTCATCTGCATAGCCCTGTGAAGCTGGAGAACGGGGACGTGTGGTGGGCAGGGTAGAGGTTGTGACGGATGTCACTGGCCTGCCAGTCTAAGGGGTTTAGATGGATTTCCCCAGGGACGCTAGGATTCGTTGAGTGTGACTTAACTGGAAGGGAGGAGGGGTCAGTTAGAAACAGGGTACTTAGGAGCCAGTTGTGACTATGGCAAAGTGCTAAAGTGCTAATTTTCTGAATTACGGAGAGAGGAGGGAACAGATTGAAGGAATCATAAATTAGGAACAGGTGGTATTTAGGGGTAATAGTAAAGAAAAAATCATGACATTGACACCAAAGTTGTCAGTGGGAGAGACACTTTTTTTTTTTAAGATTTTATTTATTAGAATGAGAGAGAGTGCACAGGAAAGGGGCGGGGGTCAGAGGGAGAAGCAGACTCCCTGCTGAGCAGGGAGCCTGATGCGGGACTCGATCCCAGGACTCCAGGATCATGACCTGAGCCGAAGGCAGTCGCTTAACCAACTGAGCCACCCAGGTGCCCGTGGAGAGACACTCTTAAAATACATCCTCAATTTTGTTGGGTGTCTTTGTGTGTGTTTAAGTACCTGGTGGGTAGAGAACCTGCGGTCTCCCATCTTCTCCATAGTGTTTGGGATGGTAGAGATGTGCCCTCAATTATGCCACCTTAGGTGAGTACAACCAAAGGTGAAGTGGAATGATAGGACCTAGGGATCTGGGTTAGACCCCGCCTGAGCTACCCACAAATGGAGACCTTGAGAGATGCATTTCATCTGTCTGCATGTTTCCCAGTTTGTAAAACAAGGAGCCTTGATTAGGGGAAGGACCACATTTGTTGCAGGCTCTAATATCCAGGTAGTTGGAAAAAGACTTTTCAAGTATTAAATCTTTCTTTTTTCCAAGTATCAAGTCTGAAGACTATTTGCCTTTTTTTTTTTTATCTTTCTCATGTATTTATATTCCATATCATCTAGCGCAACACTTGCCAAACAACAGTAACTGACAGACTTTCTATCAGTATATAGCCTATAGACTTCTGTTTCCATCAGGGATACTTTCAATCAAAGCTAGAAGCAAGACTATACCTGCACAGGGACACATCTTCACCAAGTGTGCAAATGCCTGGTGAAAATTAGATACTGTCACAGTACAAAATCAGAGCCCCACACCCTTAGGTATACATATAAATTGATATCCTTACATTTTTAAACTAGCACAGCCCTTGAACTATATATAAATATGGGACAAATGAACTATACTTTTGAGACCACTTACGAATTAAAGTAGATTAACATGCATAGCTATGAGGAAATGGGCTATTCCAGTACAAATGCTTTGACTAAATTCACTACTTTGAAAAACATAAATTATGTACAGAATGAGGAAGCTTGGGAAATGGCTATCAGTTTTTTTTTATTGTGTTTTTTTAATTTAATTTAAAATTTTATTTATTTATTTGACAGAGACCGCGAGAGAGGGAACATGAGTGGGAGAGGGAGAAGCAGGCTTCCTGCCGAGCAGGGAACCTGATAAGGGGCTCGATCCCAGGATCCTGAAATCGTGACCTGAGCTGAAGGCAGATGCTTAATGACTGAGCCACCCAGGTGCCCCTTTAATTGGATTTTTTAAATTACCAGTCGAGTTCTGGGACCCTTCACAGCGAGGATTTGCCTTGCACGGACGCTTACTACAGACTCACAATTGCTGAGCTGTATTGGAAATATGATTTCTGCCCTGGAGGAGTTCACAATTCCCTCTGAGACTGTTGAAAGCAGTGAATTCTTTTCCCAAAAATGCTTCCAGCTTTTCCAGGTTAAAAAAAATCCGGGGGCGCCTGGGTGGCTCAGTCGTTAAGCGTCTGCCTTCGGCTCAGGTCATGATCCCAGGATTCTGGGATCGAGCCCCGCATCGGGCTCCCTGCTCGGCAGGAAGCCTGCTTCTCCCTCTCCTCCCCCTGCTTGTGTTCCCTCTCTTGCTGTCTCTCTCTCTGTCAAATAAATAAAATCTGAAAAAAAACCTCTGGTCCTGCTTTTCAGAAAACATTCCATTAAAAGAAATTTCAGAAAAGTTAGGAGAAAATCCATGGTCTCTGGGACAGCTGACCTGGGAGTGGCACACTCTTGCTGGGGATTAACCTGAATGTTTCAAGGACACATCATCAAAATTGTAGTATCAGCTTTAAAAGGAGCGGTTTACCAGGGTATGAAAGGAAATTTCTGCATGGAAGGAAAAGCTAGGCCAAGACACACTGAGTCATAAACAGACACACGAATTTAGACTGTCCCTACCACTGGTCGGAGTGGCTGCCCTAGGACTCTGGGAAATTCATCCTAGAAAGACCAACTTTTGAACACAATTCTGAAGGCACTTGCTTCTCTGTGCACCCCCGCTCCTTGCAGACTTACACCCTTAGCACTATTTTAACACCTTATTAGCCCTGTTTCCTAGCATATTCTAGCTACCTCCCACCTTTTCTGGATTTAGGTGGGGTATTAAAATCTGTTGAGCTACTCAAGCAAGGTACAAGTTATCAAAACGAGAGGAGGAGGCAAACCAAAAATGTTTTCCCATCTAGAGGGTAACAGTTATTTGACTCTTAGGACCCTGTGTAGATAGTGAGCTTTTGAGAGTGGATTGTCGTCTTCATCTCCATATCATGTCAGCTGTGTACTTTTCTTTTTTCTTTTTCTTTTTTTTAAGATTTTACTTATTTATTTGACAGACAGAACACAAGCAGGGGAGAGGGTCAGAGGGAGAAGCAGGCTCCCCGCCGAGCAGGGAGCCCGATGTGGGACTCGACCCCAGAACCCTGGGATCGTGACCTGAGCCGAAGGCAGACACTTAATGACTGAGCCACCCAGGTGCCCAGCTGTGTACTTTTCACTGGGCACCAGGTAGTTGGTGGCTACTATGTGCCAGGCCCTCCAAGAGTCGCTGGGACTAGAGGAAGGGACGGTGTCTGTTTCCTGACTTAGGGTGAATTTTAAACCATCTCAGGAAGCCCTTGACCCATCCTCTTTACCGTCCAAGTGAGCAGGGGGTTTTTGTTTGGTTTTGGTTTTAAGATTTATTTATTTTAGAGCTCCAGCAACTGGGGAGAGAGGGGCAGAGGCGGAGGGAATCCTGAAGCAGACTCCCTGCTGAGTACAGAGCCTGACAAGGGAAGGGGTTCAATCCCAGGACCCTGAGACCGTGACTTGATCTGAAATCCAGAGTCGACTGCCTAACTGACTGAGCCACCCAGGTGCCCCTCAAGTGAGCAGGTTTTAATGGAAGATGGGTCTCTTTTTTTTTTTCCCCCGTAGGGCAATCGATGCAAGCTGTTTGACTCTTCTTCCACATGTAGCTCCATCACCCGGACAGTGTTAAAAAGACCAGACCGATCTCAGGAGGAGCACCTGCCCGTAAATACGAAGCGGAGAAAGAGCATGGCTGGGGCCAGTGCCGAAGAGGCAGCCAGTCCAGAGAAGCCCCAGGAGGTTAGTTTTGCAGGTGCCTTTTTGCTCAAGGAGAATGATACTGTATTTTTTAATTCTGAAATTTCCATCTGGTTCTTTTTCTTTGCCAAAACTTAACTATTTTCCATTTGTTTCAAGCATGTTCCTAATTGGCTATTGAAGCATTTTTAGGATGGCTGCTTTTAAAATCCTTACCAGATAATTCCAGCATCCATGTTGTGGTGTTGGCTTCTATTGATTGTCTTTTCCTATTCAAGTTGAGATCTTCCTGGTTCTTGGTATGACAAGTGATCTTTCAGTTGTATCTTGTGTATTTTGGGTATTATAAGACTCTGGTCTATATAAATTTTCTGTTTAGGCCTCTGCTACTGCAGGGATGATAAGGGTGGAAGGTCAGGTTCCCCAACATGGCCTCCCTTGACACACTGGGTGGGGGCAAGTCTCATTATGGCTGGGCAGGAGTGGGAGTTCAAGGTCCCCACTAGGCCTCTGCTGACACCATCCTGGTGGGATGGAGACTGGGCACTTCATTACAGATAGGCAAGGATTGGATGAGTAAGTTCCCCACTTGCTGACCAGGTATGGTGTAGGGCCATCATTTTTCCCTTGGTGTTTGGCTACAGTGGTGGTATTGTCTAAAAGTTTTCTGTCTTTATAGGTGGCCCTTTTCCTAGTCCTTTGGCTAGGGAGGACAGACTTCCCTTAGGGTTTGTTTCTTTGGGTTTGCTGCATCACTGTCTCCTGGTCTGCTTGGATCTATAAATTTCCCATTACTTTAAGTTTGTCTCACAACTGTGTAGTGTTTTTCATTGTATTCTAAGTGTTTTAATTGCTTTGTTTTCTTTTAATTCAGACCTATTGTGGCCTAATAAAAGTTTGATTTTTGTAAAAACTTTCACCTTACTCAAAAAAATATGTATCCTCTGGTGTCAAGTTCAGCATATCCAATTCTATCAAATCAATTGCTCATAGTTTGTTATGGTTTGTTTTCCTGTTATTTTGGAACTTTCTCTACTGATAATATATCAGGAACTTTTTTTTTAAGATTTTATTTATTTATTTGACAGAGACATAGCAAGAGAGGGAACACAAGCAGGGGGAGTGGGAGAGGGAGAAGCAGGCTTCCCGCTGAGCAGGGAGCCCGACGCAGGGCTGGATCCCAGGACCCTGGGACCATGACCTGAGCCGAAGTTAGATGCTTAACGACTGAGCCACCCAAGCGCCCCATAGATTTCCTGATTTTAAAACTATTCTTGCTGGGGCACCTGGGTGGCTCAGTCGTTGGGTGTCTGCCTTCGGCTCAGGTCGTGATCCCAGGGTCCTGGGATCGAGCCCCGCATCGGGCTCCCTGCTCCGCGGGAAGCCTGCTTCTCCCTCTCCCACTCCCCCTGCTTGTGTTCCCTCTCTCACTGTGTCTCTCTCTGTCAAATAAATAAAAAAAAATCTCAAAAAAAAAAACTATTCTTGCTTAATGAAATGTCATGTTTGGCTTATTTAGAATTGCTTTTATTAAACACGTTTTTCCTTCATTATACTGTCCTTATATCAGATTTTGGTATTAAGGTTTGGTATTAAGCATTGTAAAATAAACTGGAGAACTGCCCATGTTTTCTGTAGCATGAAAAGGTTTGAGTAACCACTAGTTGTCTTAAAAGGTTAGCTAGAGGGGTGCCTGGGTGGCTCAGTCAGTTAAGTGTCTGCCTTCGGCTCAGGTCATGATCCCCATGGTCCTAGGATTGAGCCCTGCATCGGGCTCCCTGCTCAGTGGGGAATAAAAAAAAGTCAGCTAGACAACAACCATGAAAATACCTAGGCCTGGTGTTTTACGTTTTATAATCTGTTTTAGTTATCTAATACTTGATGAGCATTTTACTTTTTCTAATTAAAAGTGGAATTCTAGGGGCGCCTGGGTGACTCAGTTGGTTAAGCGTCCAAGCCTTGATTTCAGCTCAGGTCGTGATCTCAGGGTTGTGAGATGGAGCGCCACATCGTGCTCTGTGCTGGGCGTGGTGCCTGCTAAAGATTCTCTCTTCCTCTCCCTCTGTACTACCCCCTCAAAAAAAAAAGGAATTCTAAACTAAAGGGCAGGAACATTTATGAAACTTTGCATTTTATACATGCCAACAAATTGCCTTCCATAAAGCTTCTTAAATATCCAGGAATATTCATTTCCTTGTACTCTTGCCATACTAGGAAATTACCTTTTTATTTTCTTAATATCGTTTCTAAATTTTTTTTTTTAAATAGAGAAAAGGGTAGGGGACAGAAGGAGAGGAAAAGAATTTTTTTTTTTTTTAAAGATTTTGTTTACTTATTTGACAGAGAGAGACACAGGGAACACAAGCACGGGGAGTGGGGGAGGGAGAAGCAGGCTTCCCACTGAGCAGGGAGTCTGATGCGGGGCTCCATCCCAGGACCCTGGGATCATGACCTGAGCCAAAGGCAGACGCTCAATGACTGAGCCACCCAGGTGCCCCAGGAAAGAGAATCTTAAGCAGGCTCCACACCCAGTGCAGAGCCTGATGTGGGCCTGGATTTCACGACCCTGAGATTATGATCTGAGCTGAAATCAAGTCAGATGTTTAACCAACTAAGCCACCCAGGCGCCCCAATATCATTTCTAATTGTCTCCAGTTTATTTGTTCAAATCTGGGTTGAAATAAGTTCTGTGCATTGCAGTTGGTCACGAGGTCTCTTATTATTTGGGTCCGGTGCTCCATCTTTTTGTTTCCTTCTTGAAGTTTTTGGCTGAAGAACTCAGGCCAGTTGTCCTGTAGAAAGAAGTTCCCAGTCCTATGGGATCTTCTAACATTGTCTTCTATCCTCTATATTACCCATAAACCTAGACTCTAGGAAGGCTTGATCAGATTGGAGTTCCATTTCTTTGGCACGACTATTTCCTGGATGATTTGTTTACTTTGATCAGGCGGCACACCACCGGGCAGCCATTGATGATTATTGCCTAGATTTCATTTAACCAAGGTTTCAAAAAGTGATCCTGCTGTTCCATCATTCTTCACTTACTGGCAGAATGTTCCTACAAAGAGAAACTTCTGCGCATCAAACTCTTTGGTCACCCTTGGGAAAGGCAAATGAATGCTGGATCTCTTTAAAGGGAACATACCCCGGGGCACCTGGGTGGCTCAGTCGTTAAGCGTCTGCCTTCGGCTCGGGTCATAATCGGGATCGAGCCCCGCATCAGGCTCCCTCCTCGGCAGGGAGCCTGCTTCTCCCTCTCCCACTCCCCCTGCTTGTGTTCCCTCTCTCGCTGTGTCTCTCTCTGTCAAATAAATAAATAAAATCTTTTAAAAAAAAAATGAAGGGAACATACCCCCATAAATACCAGCTATGACCAGCAAAGAGCACTAGCAGCAGCCCAGAGCCCCTCATATGCTTCCCCCGTCAGTAACACTGACCTGAACTCTGCTGATGTGGCTGAGTTTTGCCTGTATTTGAACCTTCTATCCTTGGACTCCTACTGTATATATTTCTTTTATGTCTGGATTCTCTTGTTCAGCATTATTTTTGTAAGAATCATGTGTTGTATCTATCCATGGTTGAGTGATGTCCCCCCTTTTTTGTCATTGCTGTGTAGTATTTCATCCCACAAACAGAGTACAGGTTATCTGTCCCATAGTTGATGTTTGGGTAGCTGTTCACAGGTTTTGACAACTATGAATAAAGCTGCTATAAACATTCTTGTACAGTTTTGTTTTGTAAACATATACTTTGATTTCTCATGAAATTCTGGTCCTAGGCTAGTCACGTGTTTGGCTTTGGTAGACACTCAGCCAAATCATTGTCCAGCAGGGTTCTTCTCACAACAGTGTATGAGTGTTGCACTCTACATCCTTCCAGTATCCTTAGTGTTGTTCATCCCTTTAGTTTTAGCCATTCTGGTGAGTGTATGGTGTCTGCGGTTTTAGTTTGTATTTCCCTAATAGTCATTTTTCTTGGTCCTGGATTTTCCTCTCTGTATTGCTAGTCCAAGTTATTGCCCATTTTTCTACTGGATTATCTCTTATTTATGGGAGTATTCTATGTATTCAGAGATGAATCTTTTATTGAGAGATTGTATATCTTCCTACTCTGGCTTGCCTTTTCTCCTAATACTGTTCTTTTGATGAACAAAATTTCTTGATTTTTTTTAAATGTATTTCAGTTAATCAATCTTATTTATGTTTAGTGCTTTTTGTGTCCTGCTTAAGAAATCCTTACCACCCCATGACTAGCCCTTTTGACATGGCCCTACTAGTCTGGTAGCTTCCTTGCTACTATCAGAAGGCATTCCAGGTTTATCTTGTATATTTCTTGTCTCAACATGGAGTCAATTATATCTTCAAAAAGCCTTGGTTTCTTTTCTTTTTTTTTTTTTTTTTTTTTTTTTTTTTTAAGATTTTATTTTTAATGAGGCGCCTGGGTGGCTCAGTCGTTAAGTGTCTGCCTTCGGCTCAGGTCATGATCTCACGGTCCTGGGATCGAGCCCCGCATCGGGCTCCCTGCTCCGCGGGAAGCCTGCTTCTCCCTCTCCCACTCCCCCCGCTTGTGTTCCCTCTCTCGCTGTGTCTCTCTCTGTCAAATAAAATCTTTAAAAAAAGATTTTAAGTCATTTCTACACTCTATATGGGGCTCGAACTCACAACCCCAAAGATCAAGAGTCTCACGCTCCACTGATTGAGCCAGCCAGGCATCCTCAAGCCCTGGTTTCTTTTAGTGGAAAATAATTTTCAGAGACCACAGTATCCTTTAGGAATGCTCATTGTACCTCTAGAGCTTCTCAGTGAACAGAGTTAAAAAATATTTATTTTAGACTTAGCCTTAATTTTTTTTAAGGATTTTATTTATCTGTTTGATAGAGACACAGTGAGAGAGTGAACATAAGCAGGGGGAGTGAGAGAGGGAGAAGTAGGGAGACGCAGGCTTCCCTCCCAGCAGGGAGCCCGATCGAGTCTGGGGCTCGATCCCAGGACCCTGGAACCATGACCTGAGCTGAAGGCAGACACAACGACTGAGCCACCCAGGTGCTCCATAAACTTAGCTTAATTTTAATTCCCCTTTTTTAAAAAGGTAGGGAGGAGTGCCTGGGTGGCTCAGTCAGTTAAGTGTCTGCCTTCGGCTCAGATCACGGTCCCAGGGCTCTGGAATCAAGCCCCACATCAGGCTCCCTGATCAGCGGAGAGCCTGCTTCTCCCTCTTCCTCTGCCTGCCGGTTTCCCTACTTGTGCGCACGCGCACTGTCTCTCAAATAAATAAAGTCTTTTTGAAAAATTTAGAAAGGGAAGAAGAAAAACTTAGTTTCAGAACATTTCAGTTAGACACTAAAATAATAGTAGACCTAGTCAGTGACCTACTTTCTCTTTTTCATTCTAGATTCAATCAAGTAAGAAAAAGTATTTGCTAAATGTAGACCTTTACATGTCACTCTCCTCCTGAGACATGTGCTAGGTGAATGTTTTCAAAAGTCCTATTGAGAATCATGGCCTCATTTTCTACCTTTGATTTGTTACAGATTCTACATCAGTCTTTATCCCTGGCATCTTCCCCAAAGGGGACCATTGAGAACATTTTGGATAATGACCCAAGGGACCTTATAGGAGACTTCTCCAAGGTAATTCTAAACAGACACAAGGAGAGCTGCTCTATGTGATTTGGGTTTTAGTGTGTTTCCTAGAACCCCCCTCCCCTCAGCCTTTCTCCCTCCCTGGGGTGGCTCTTGCAATGCCCCCAAGGGGACACAGTTTGAAGTTCTTAAAGATAAGGAAACAGACTCATGATCTGATGTATCTTGGTCTCTCTGGGACTGTCGACCTTACTGGTACTGATCAGACAAAGTAGGAAGCCACCAACCAGCCACCTCAACTCCCACCCAAAGTCCAGGCCCTTTGGGAACTGTGTTTCTGATTATAAAAATAGTAGTGCAGTAAAGTACAAAGACGCAAGAATAAACCTATAGCCTCACTACACAACTGTGTATGGAAAGGTTATCTTAGAAGAACCGAAGCTGACGGATCTCTCTGTTGTCCAGAGAAGCACAGCCTTTGAGGGAGAAGGCCCTCAGGGAAGTGCAGAGGAAGGCCTGCTGATGGCCTGATAGTACAATTTGCTGAGTGGAGGACTTGGCTGCCTTTGGGCTGTGGTGAAATACAAGGGTGGGACAGAGAATGTGTCGGTAGCAGCTCATGTAGCCACACAGGACGTGAAGGCTACTAGATCAATTTCTTAGTCATTAGTTTAGCTAACATTTATTGAAGCACTACTGTTACGTGTTAGGGAGAGATTCCAGTATGAGACCCAGTCCTTCCCTCAAAACACTTCTCATGTGGTAAGACCTGCCATGTCATGGACCGCACGGAAGATGGAAGTGAAGGTCAGTGCAGTGTAAGCAGGCTGGGAGAAAAAAGGGGGGCTGTCTCAGAAGAGTGGGGAAGGTATGGGTCTGGGCCATATGTCATATTTCAGCCAGCTGAGTTTTGAAGGAATGGGGACACGTAAGGAGGTTAAAAACAGGAGACAATTCTATCTGAAGGGAAGAGCGAGCAAAGACTGGGTGTGTCCTCATTGGTGGAACCTTCCACTTGTCATAATGACCTTGCACATGGCCATAGGGATGGTGAGCTTTTGATTCAGCCAGTTGCCCTAATGAGTAATTGCTGATGTGCCTGTCTTTCCCCTCAAGGCCAGGCCAGGTCTCATTTTTCCCATCTCCAATGCCCAACACCATGTTCCTGACAGTCTGGCTACTGAGATGAAGGTTCCTGACAAGTAGGGGGAAGGAAATTACCTGAGGTTTCTGTATTTACATCGGGCTTACTAGCTAGCTATCCTTGGATAGGGTTACCCAGCTTTACATTTGGGAATGAGAACAATGTGCCATGTTGGTGTGTGCGAAAATGACATGTCAGAATTTTAATGAAGTGCCTAGATGAGTAACCTGCCTGTACTATTAAGGTTTGTGTATAAAGCTGCCTCTTACCAGGCAGGCTAGCAGTATAAATGTTGCATTTATAGGCCTTGAGATTTGCTAAGTCTCTTTTTTTTTTTTTTAAGGGTTATCTCTTTCGTACAGTTGCTGGGAAACATCAGGATTTAAAATACATCTCTCCAGAAATTGTAAGTCATCTTTTTGGATCCTGCAACCTGTGGGGTATTTGAACCTGTTGTTTCAGGCAGCCAAAGTTGATTTTCCTGGGCTTTCTCTCCACAGATGGCATCTGTTTTAAACGGCAAGTTTGCCAACCTTATTAAAGAATTTGTTATCATTGACTGCCGGTACCCGTATGAATATGAGGGAGGCCACATCAAGGTATGTTCTTGAGGTTTGCTTGTGAGTTCTACTGTTGTGGGAGGTGTAGAAGGAGCCCTGACAGGATCTGTGATTTTATTTTATAACTTTTTTTAAGATATTTATTTGAGAGAGAGAGAGGGAGAGGGGCAAAGGGAGAGGGAGACTCAGCAGACTCCCTGCTGAGCAGGGAGCCCGATGCAGGACTCCCATCCCAGGACCCTGGGATCATGACCTGAGTCGAAGGCAGATGCTTTACAGACTGAGCCACCCAGGCACCCCATGGATGTATGATTTTAAAAGGTGGAGGGGTGGTCAGGGTGCCTGGGTAGCATAGTTGGTTAAGCGTCCAACTCTTGATCTCAGCTCAGGTCTTGAACTCAGGGTTGTGAGTTCAAGCCCTGCATTGGGCTCCACACTGGGCATGGAGCCTACTTTAAAAAATAAATAAGAGTAAAAAGTAAAATAAAGGTGGGTGGTGACACCTGGCTGCTTACTAGCTCATATGCTGGTTATGAGAATTTTTAAAAGGGGCCTTGAATCCTGGTGCACTGAAGAATATTCCCTGGCCTACACTACTCCACCACATTGTACAGCAAATGTTCTCTGTCCTGTGCCTCACACCATCACCATCAAGGGCATTTCTAGGTGGTACCCACTGATTTCTAAGCCAGGCCTGGGCACCCCAAGGCTTCTGCCTAGAAGCCAGTCTCTGGTGACATGCCCCAGTCTATGCCAGACTTAATGATGCCTCTAAGTCTATAGTTGAATTAAGCTGCAGGGTGGAGGGCAGGTGTGGGGACACGGTTTCCCAGGAAGAAAGTAACTGGTTGTGCCAACTTAAATCTTTTAACCAATAAAATAGTGTTGAAATACAGTAAAGGGGTACACTAAATATAACAGCGTTTGCCACTGTCTCGGTGGCTTTTTGAAAGTCCCGAATTCATGAATACCCGTCCTGCCCATCACAGTCATAACAATAGGAGGTGCCCGATTAAAGATGACTCACAGAATCCTTACTGGCAAGGACAATGCGCACAGGTGCCAAAAGAGTCTCTGGTACCTCCACAGGGTGCGGTGAACTTGCACATGGAAGAGGAGGTTGAGGACTTCTTACTCAAGAAGCCCATCGTGCCTACTGATGGCAAGCGTGTCATTGTCGTGTTCCACTGCGAGTTCTCTTCCGAGCGAGGCCCTCGCATGTGAGTGCTGTGTGCAGCCGGGCTCTGGGCCAAGAGTCTGCGGTAACGGGGGGCATGAGGCGGGGGAGGCTCACACTCGGGGCGTATCTCGGCACACGGAGCACCCTCTTGGCACCTCCCAAGTCATTTCTGTACTTTAGCCTGCATACATGTAACTCTTTGCTTCTTTGAAAGTTCAAATTCATGTGTAGCAGATGTTTTCCCAAATTCTTAATCTATTAAGCAGTCATTTGATTTGATGAACAGCTTCCTTGAGTGTGGCTTTTTATAGGCTTGACCTAGCAGTGTCTGTTGCCAAGGCTTTGGGCCTTCTCCAGCCCGGCCCTGTCCCTGATGCTAGTGTGGTCCACGCTGGGAGAACTGAGGGACAGCTGGAGAGGGGGGTGGGGGCTGGGCCAGGGTGGGCTGCAGCTCTGACAAGGGTGGGCCAAGGTAGACTTTTCATAGGCCCACAGGCCTGGATTCTTGTGCAGCCTTTTCATCTTGAACCAGTTCAAAAGTCAGGACACGTGGGGGCGCCTGGGGGGCGCAGTTGGTTAAAAGTCCAACTCTTCATTTTGGCTCGAGTCATGTTCTCAGGGTCATGAGTTCAAGACCTGAGTTGGGATCCACGCTGAGCGGGGAGTCTGCTTGAGATTATCTCCCTCCCTCCCTCTGCCACACCCCCACACACCCCACACACACTCACTCAAATAAATAAATCTTTTTTTTTTTTTTTTTTAATTTGAGAGAGAGCGTGCACAGGAGTGGGGAAGAGAGAGAGGGAGAAGCAAACTTCCCCACTGAGCAGGGAGCCCCATGCAGGGCTCAATCCCAGGACCCTGAGATCATGACCTGAGCCAAAGGCAGACACTTAATGGACTGAGCCGCCCAGATGCCCCTAAATAAGTAAATCTTTTTTTTTTTTTTAAGATTTTATTTATTTATTTATTTATTTGAGAGAGAGAGAATGAGATAGAGAGCATGAGAGGAGGGAGGGTCAGAGGGAGAAGCAGACGCCCCGCTGAGCAGGGAGCCCGATGTGGGACTCGATCCCAGGACTCCAGGATCATGACCTGAGCCGAAGGCAGTCGCTTAACCAACTGAGCCACCCAGGTGCCCTAAATAAGTAAATCTTAAAAAAAAAAAAAGGGCCATTTGCCTACGTGTGCTTCACCTGACTTCAGCAGCAGCTACTGTTTTGCCGCATTAGCACACATACAACTACAGCAGGAACTTGTCTCCCCGCCTTCCTCCCAAGGATAGGGACTGGCCCTGCATTGGCACAAAACCATAATTACAGGAAGAGGTAGGATTTGAGCGAGGACTCCTGTTCCTTCACAAATGGGATTATTCATTCAGGTACAAGTACTTACTGTTGCCCCTCACATGCTAGATAGTGTTCTGGGTAGTGTGGAGAATGGCAAAACGTAGGAGAACCAACAGCCCTGCCTTCAGGGAGCTTGCATTTCCAAGTGGGCGGGAGCAGACAGATAAGATAAAAAATAGGTCAGCTACTCTGTGTGTTAGAAGGTGCTTCGGAGACAAATAAAATGAGAGGTGGGTGCTCCCAGGCAGGTTGGAGGAAAAGCAAGGGGGCCAGAGTGGCTGGAGTAGAGAGGGGGGAGGGCTGCAGGGGCGGGGTACCACATTATGGGCCACTGTCAGGACTTTGGCTTTTGTACCAGGGGTTGGGAGGTCAGGAGCCACAGTGAGGTGAGGGTATTAGTAAGAGTATTCAGGATTCCGTCCAAGTGGGGGGTGCAAGTAGGCGCCCTGAGGCAGGAGCTAGGTCGGCCTATTTAAAAGGCATAGGAAGAAAGCAGCCAGCCTACACAGGAAATAAGGGAGGGACCCCGGCCGTGGAGGAGGCAGGGGGTGGGGTGCCAAGGGTGGAGACTGCATTGGAAAGCTGGCTCGGAAGCTGTCGCTCCACATGGGGTGCCGGTGGGGGGCAGGGGCTGGGCAGTAGGGCTGTGCAACTCAGAGGCAGGATCATTGGAGAGAGACCGTCTCCCTCCCACCACCTGTGAGCTCTTCCTAACGATCACGTGTGGCCAGGAACGCACGGCTCAACACTGACTGTTTGCAAGAATGACCGGGAAACTGGGAAGCTGTGTAAGGAGTGCTTGCACCGCCCCACCGCCCTCACTGTGTTGTCTCGTGTTGCTCTGTATCAGAAGGCCTCACCTTGCCTTGGCCTGCCTTCCTGACAGGTGCCGGTACGTGAGAGAGAGAGATCGGCTTGGTAACGAGTATCCCAAACTCCACTACCCTGAGCTGTATGTCCTGAAGGGCGGGTACAAGGAGTTCTTCCTGAAATGCCAGGTAAGGGGAAGTGTCTGGAGGGCACGGTGCCCCCCTCACCCAGCTCGGACAGTCCGATCTGTCTGGTGGTCATGGCTGTGTCTCGTCCTGGCTCTGGGGCTCTGCCCTGCACAAAGAAAGGCCCTGGAACGTGCTGTGCTTTTGGCGCTGCTCCGCACCTTGCAAGCCCAGATGGGGGGAGCCGGCTTCCCCGCGTGAGCCAGGGACCCCTCATCTCGTCCTCTCCTGTCTGCAGTCTCACTGTGAGCCCCCCAGCTACCGGCCCATGCACCATGAGGACTTCAAAGAAGACCTGAAGAAGTTCCGCACCAAGAGCCGGACCTGGGCAGGGGAAAAGAGCAAAAGGGAGATGTACAGCCGCCTGAAGAAGCTGTGAGGGCGGCCGTGCCAGACAGCAGCAGCCTGAGGCTCCCTCCGTGCCTCCCCCCTTCCCTCTTTGCTGCAGAGAAACTTGAGCGAAGGGGCCAGCCGCGTGCACGACGTGTGGAGAGAGGACCCGGAGCCGGTGGGCCTTCCCCTGGCTCTGCGCTCCCGGGGTTGGAGCGTCCCGCCAGCTGCACCCCTTCCGTCCCCGTAAGACATTCTCCTTCTGCCTCGGGACTGGCCGCCAAGGCTGTCACTGCTGTCACTGGCTGCAGCACCAGTCCGAGCACAGAGTCAAGAAGTTCTGACTTCTCACTGCCCGCCGTCGGACAGACCACCTGGGGCCTTACTGGGCACTGTCCTCTCCTGGGGGCGGGTAGGGAGAGTGTGAGAGAAGTAACGGAAGCAGAAATGCCGTGGTCAGATGCCAGAGACAGCCTGGGAAGGGAATGGTCTTGGTGGGATAACCCGTATCGTTAATTTATTCAACTTCATCAATCACTTTATTTTTTTTTTTTTTTTTTTAACTCCTGGAGACTTTTATTTAACTGCTTCTTTAAGTCATAATACTGCCATTCTGGGTAGGGTTTTATCATCCCAGGGACTACCTCTGCTTTTAAAAAAAAAAAAAGGTTGGGGGAGAAGCGGCAAACTTGTGTTGAGGGACAGAACTAGGAGCTCTGTCACCCCCAGGAGGCACTGTGGTACTGGGCCCGCTGCTATTTAAAGCCAAGGACTGAGGTACTGGTAGGAACAGGCACTGGACTCAGACTTGGCTACAGGACATAAGCTAAACCTCCCAGACCTACCTCGAAGGCCACTGAGATCTATGGGGGGGGGTGGCCCTGCTCTTCCTCACCCCAGTTCCCTGTGACGCTGGCTGGTATAGGAGTCCCAGTCAGGAAAGCACTTCAGGCAGCTTCCATTGGGCCGCCCCCAGATCATTGTTGGAATGTGGTAGTGTAGGTGTCCTAGAGTAGGGGGGGCAGGGCGGGGGGGGCTCTTCGGGATGGGGGAGGGGAGTGTATACTGAGTGTCTTGGATTACTCTGATACTCTTGAATAGCTTTTAATTTTCTAAAAATAGTCATTGTCCAAGTCAAGGAGGATCAAATCAGTGTTCGTGGGCCACCCAAGGGTGAAGAGGGGCTGGAAGCCCTGGGCATTAGGAGAGGGCTGTGGGTGCTGGCGTACAGATGACTATACCGAATGTGTTTCTCAGGAGGCAGCGTGGTGGGTTTTGAAGGTAAAACTTTCCGAGTTTATCATGTTTGAATTTGAGGGACAGGGAGTGATGGATCATCACTAGTTGCCCCGTCATCTAACCCCGTGGAAATGGGGGTCTCAAAGGAACAGCTCCTATCCAAGGAGCTGGGGCTGACTTGGTTGATTCTGGACAGGCCTATTTGGTTCCTGCTCATCCCCACCCATAGGCACCAGCCCCCACACCATCTTTGCTCCACTGGGGTGTAGCCAACTTTTTCTTAAACACAAGAGCCAGTCTCCCCTCTTAATTCCTTTCCTCCTCCCAAGGTAGGGAAGGAGGCAGTGGTACCGGGGATGGTTTGTTGTGTTGTTATGGGTTCCAGTTGCATTTGGCTGTAAAACAATCTTGTTAGAAAAAATCAGTGGGGAGGAGGGGAACAGGAAGAAAGAGGAAGGCCTCTTCCCCCTCTCACCGCACATTGAGACACATCTCAGTTGGTCTCTAATCTTGTTTGTAGGGATTCTGTTGGTTGGATGCCTGGAAAGGGAGGTGGGATGGCCCTCAGATGGTACCAGCTTAGCTCACATTACTGACCAGCTGTTGCAGGCTCTGAAAATAAAAACAATCCTGAACCCATGCTCTCTGCCTAGTTCTTGATGGATTTAAGAGAATTGTGTTTCCCTTTAAAATTCTGGGACCATACTTGACTAAAACCAGTGGGGGGTGGAGGGGTGGCCAAAATTCCTCAAGAGGCCAAAGGGCTCCTGTGTAGCAGGGCTTCAGGGATGGCCAGAATGACCTCTAGTTACAACCCTGACTCCAAAAACTTGTCATTCAGATTGATTGGCAAGATGAAATAGGGACATCAAAGGTTACCCAAACCCGGCTCCTGGATGGCTCAGTCGGTTAGGTGTCTGTCTGCGGCTCAGGTCATGATCCTAGGGTCCTGGGATCGAGCCCCACGTTGGGCTCCCTGCTCAGCAGGGAGTCTGCTTCTCTCTCGCTCGCTGTCTTTCAAATAAGTAAAAGCTTCAACATCTATTCAGAGCCAGTCTTCTCTTCCTCACTCTCCCTGACTTTGTTCTTTAAATTTAAGCAGGTAACACTTCTCTGGATTATTGCCAAAGCCAGCTGGCCTTTGGCTTAGCCTGTTGTTGCCACAACCAACTTGCTAAATGTCTAATTAGGTCAGCCCATTCTTACTGAAGAGTTTAATGGCTCCTTGTTGCCTATAAAATTAAACTTGAACTCTAGCCCATGTGCAAAGATACAACCCCAGCCTTACCCTACGTTCATCTTACGCTCCAATAACAGGCAGAGCTCTATTTCTAGAATGTACCCTGCCCTCTGAACCTTGCTTGGAAGTTTGGTTGAGAGCTGAGAATCTTGGGTAAGACAACTCAAAAAAAATTAGGGGCAGCTGTGTTGTATGCAAGCCATCATCCGTTGGTTCCAATAAAAAATGTTTTAAGTTCGGGGGCACCTGGCTGGCTCAGTCGGTGGAGCATGTGACTTGAGCCTGGGGTTTGTGAATTCGAGCTTAATAGTAAATCGTCCAGTCTCACCCATTCCCCCAAGGTAACTGCTACCCCTGGCATTGTGATTGTTGCCTAAGCAAGCAGATACAGAATTGCTTTTCATGTTTTAAAACTGCGCAAATATCTCCATTTTGTGTACATTCTTCTGCATCTCACTTTGGGTTTTTTGTGGGTTTTTTTAAGATCTTATGTATTTGAGAGAGAGTGCGTGCACGTGGGGAGGGCTGGAGGGGAAGGTAGAATTCCGAGCTGAGTGCTGAGCCCGATGCAAGGCTTGAGATCACGACCCAAGCCCAAACCGAGAGGTGGACGCCCAACTGGCTGAGCCACCCAGGCACCCCTCACTTCGGTTTTTAGACTCTGTTTCTTACACCAAGCGGCATAGGGGCACTTGGCTCCAGGAAGGGCAACGCATGAGTCAGTGATGACTCACAGGTCACACCTCTCCAACCAAGGAATCTGCAGTAAGTCACTTCTCGCTGCCTGGTGCCTTTCCTCAGAGATAACAAAGGGCACTTGAAGTAGATATTCCACTGCCGCTACCCCTGTCCCAACGTTCTGTGACTCAGGTATTTGGATGCCCCCATACCCACTTCAGATCTACTGGGAAGAAGGGCATCCATGGAAGAAGAGCTGTTGCTTTCACGTGCTCATTCAACAAACATTTCAGTTGTGCTAGGTAGGCACTGAGGATGAGATGTGTACCAGGCAGGCTCTCCTCAAGGAGCTCACCAACTAGTGGAAGAAAATAGTCCCTTCAAGACCAGGAGCACGTGGGAGTGACACTTCCGTGGAAGAGAAGCGAGGATCAAGACAGGTGTAGAGCAAATAGTGCTCAAGAGGGATGGAAGGAAGCATACCACCCAGGAGGTGATGGGTAAGCCTGATCTTGAGCAGGACTCTCAGGAGACAGGGTATTCCTGGAAGAAGGAATAGAAGGGTGAAACAGCACACATTGATGAATGTAGATGAGGTAGGGGACAAGCTTGGGAGGGCAAGGGTGGTGGAGAGGGACCAAAAACTGGATGAGGAGCTGAGGAGTCTGTGGAGAGCAGGACTTCTCAAGTTTAACAGAGCAGAAGTCACACCGGGGGAACTCGTTAAAACGCAGATTCTGGTTCCATAGGCCTGGGATTCTGCATTTTCTCGAACTCATGACCTGGAGATCAAGAGTTGCAGGCTCTTCTGACTGAGCCAGTTAGGTGCCAAGCGACTCTGCCTTACTGACAAGCTCCTGATGCCACGGGCCTTGGTCCACACTTGGTGAAGCCAGCCCGTGCGAGGCAGCAGTGGCTGAGGGGTCTGGCTGCCGAGGGGCGCACAGCCACAGGGGAAGCTGTGGGCCTGGGAAACCACGACGCTGGGCACTAGGACCTGGTGGTGGGTGGATGGTAGCAGGGGGAGGGAGAGGCCACGGTGGCGTCCTGGCTCCTAACCTGAGGAACTGGGTAGACTGTTGGCGCTTAGAGCAAAAAGTATAGGAAAGGAATTGTCTGCCTTGAGGAACTTCATAACGCTGCTGGCCTATATTCTCCATAAGTGTCAGCACCACGCAGGGCAGAGGGGCTGAGGAACCGTTCCAGATTAAAGGAGACTCGAGAGACCTGACAACTAAATGAAATATGGGGTCCTGGACCAAAACAGAAAGTGCTGTAAAGGACATTTTGGGGACAATTTACAAAATTGCAATATGGACTAAGGTTAAAAGACTGCCTCAGTGTTTAAAGTTCCCTGAATTCAATAATTATCTAAGGATATCCTTATTCTCAGGAAATAACACTGCAGTTAAGGTTAAGGACTATGACATAGGAGAGTGCCTGGCTGACGAGGTCAGTAGAGCGTGAGACTCTTGAACTCAAGGTCGTGAGTTCAAACCTCACCTTGGGTGTGGAGCCTACTTATTTTATTTTTTTATTTGACAGAAAAAGACACAGCGAGAGAGGGAACACAAGCAGGGGGAGTGGGGGAGGGAGAAGCAGGCTTCCCGCCGAGCAGGGAGCTGGATGTGGGGCTCGATCCCAGGACCCTGAGATCATGACCTGAGCCGAAGGCAGACGCTTAATGACTGAGCCACCCAGGTGCCCTGGGTGTGGAGCCTACTTAAAAAAAGGGGGGGGTGCATCTGGGTGGCTCAGTACGTTAAGCGCCAGACTTTTTTTTTTTTTATAAAGGTTTTATTTATTTATTTGACAGAGAGAGACACAGCGAGAGAGGGAACACAGCAGGGGGAGTGGGAGAGGGAGAAGCAGGTTCTCCACTGAGCAGGGAGCCCGATGCGGGGCTCGATCCCAGGACCCTGGGACCATGACCTGAGCCGAAGGCAGACACTTAACGACTGAGCCTGCAACTGAGCCACCCAGGCATCCCTGATTTTTCTTTTTTTAAGTAAACTCTAGGCCCAACATGGAGCTGACAACTCAGAGATGACGAGTTGCATGCTCTACCAACTGACCCAGCCAGGCGCCCCCCAAAATCAATGACTTGATAAAGGGTCTAAGGGAGTTCTTTGTACTATTTTTGCAACTTTCTGTAAATATGAAATTATTTCAAAAGAAAGAAGTTTAAGAGAACTTCCAACCTCGGCTCCTGTGTGGACTGGGCAGGTGTGGGCAGTGGACTGTCCAGATGCCTGGGTGGGCGGGGATGAACGTGAGGGAACTGCCCTGCAGAAATATCCAGGGTGGTGAAAGAAACTTGTTCCAAGCGCCCAAATGGCATTGGTGTAGGAGAGAGGTGGGGGGGAGGGGCGCGAGGGCCCCAGGGAAGCAATGAGAGGCAGGAGGGCAGGATGGCAGGGACAGGGACAGCCCGGGGAAGGGAAGTAGAGCCAGGGGCCGTGTGGCAGGAAGGCCTGAGAAATAAGGGAAAGCTCTGCTGGCTGGGGCCGGAACGCGCCCAACGACCTTGATTAAACAAAGGCTGCCCACCCTGGGGTGGAGGCAGAGGAGAGACAAGGAGGGAGGTAGAAACAGCCTCGGGGGTGAACGGGGTGATCCCGGGCTGTTCTCAGCCTCCAGGTGACTGTGACCTGGCGGGAGGGTGGGAAGTGGGGATGACCTTGATGAGTCAAGATCTTAAAACCTTGGCCACTCACGGGGCACCTGGGTGGCTCAGACGGTTAAGCGTCTGCCTTCGGCTCAGGTCATGATCTCAGGGTCCTGGGATCGAGCCCCGCATCGGGCTCCCCACTCAGCGGAGAGCCTGCTTCCCCCTCTGCCTCTGCCTGCTGCTT